GTTTGGGTGTAGTCAAGGCAGCGGCTCCCCCTGGCCCCAGAGGGGCAAAGGAGCAGGACCTATAGGCTCCAGGGGTGATGTGAGGGCCCTAGATACCTCCTTTGTCCCCTCTCTCCCTCCATGGCCCTGGTGTGTCCAGTTCACTCATGACGCCTCCTCACCCCCGCCAGGACAGTGACTCCACCCCACTTCCAAATGAGGACCCCAAGGCTCCAACAAGGATGGCCTGTCCCTGGTCCCTGGACTAGTGGCCTAATGCTCTGCCACATTCTGCACGACCCAGGGCCCAAGACCCCCAAGCCCCCAGGCTGCCCTCTGCTCAGAAGGACCTCAAGGGAGTAGAAAGCATTTCCCAAGGACTCGGAGCACAGTGGGCCATGGATGGGGAACTAAGGTCAACAGACTCTTCTATGAGCCTGTGGGACCTCTGGGGTCACCCCATCTGTGCACCCCAATTTACAGAGGAGTAAGCTGAGGCCTTCTCTCCTGTAGCCCCCTCCACACCAGGGAGGGGCGTCTCCCCCTAGTTCCAGGTGCCCAGAGTGGCGGAGGCAGGACCCCAGAAACTGTCCTCTCCAGGCTGCCCTGGGGATGGTCCCTGCCCAGCAGCCCCCTGGGCACCTTGGGGACGCGCTGGCTGACATCTCTTCCCCTCCCCATGTTGTGGGCCCTGGCATGTGGCTAGTGGACTGGATGCCCCTGTCTCATGGCAGAGCTGCCTCCAACCTCTTTCTTCTTCCCCCTGTGACCTCCCCAGGGTGCACTCCTCTTCTGACCCCACTCCCCGGTCCCGTCTGTGAAGTCAATGTGTGTGTATGTAGCTGTGGGCGCGTGGGGATGCCCAGAGGAAACGGCCCCACACGGAAGGGGGTGGACGGGGTCCCGCAGGATCTTAGGGGCTCTCATTCCCAAAGAAAACCCAATGGGAGGTTTGAGTCCTGGCCTAGGAGGCTAGAACCCTCCAATCTCCTCTGGACTGCCACCTCGTGGGCCCCGGGCCAGTCCCTGCCTGTCTATTGCCCTCAGTCTCCCAACGGTACCAGGAGGGGTTGGACGCGGAACTGCGTAAGCGCGCGCTCAGCGCGGACGCGGCGCCGTGCTCCCTCCCCCGCCGGATGGGGTGTGGGCGGGGGGCATGGGGAGGGCAGCTGGGCCAGGCCGGGCGGGGCACTCACCTGGCAATCTACCATCATCCTCAGCCCTGGCAGCGCATCGCCGGCTCCAGGGCGGGGCCCGGGGCTCGCAGAGGCCGCTCGCCTCGGCCC